CCTTTCTTGAATTGTCCTGTCCTCACACGGATTCCATGAGCCTTATTTGCGTTATTTACAATAATGTTCAGTATTTGCGGGAATCACAGAAGCTGGCTAAAACAGCCTTATTAAGTAATTCACTGCACAGCACATACTTTTCCTTCCTTTGATCAGAGTCCGTCTATTAGATCCTCGATCGGAACATTCAGTCGGAAGCTGGATGCCAGCCATTTCTTCTGATTGCATAGGAAAGGGAGGGATAGTAGCTCATGGAGGCAGTAGATCTGCAGTCCCTGTCCTTCTTCAGTGCCTGTGTCTCCTCCTGTCTCTTTTGCTCCAGATAGAGACCAATTGTTTTATGTTGTCTGTGTATTGCAGTTTTTTAAAATGCAGTTTAATAAAAATTATGCAACATTTAGTTTAATTAAATTTTAAAGTCATACACAAGAAGAGAGGATGTGTTGTCAAGACCATTACTATTCTTTTATCTATGCAAGACCACAGCCAAATTACCAATGAATTAAAGCAAGTGTTCTTGTTTCCTCTTAACTTTAAATTGCTTATTGTTTCTCCTCCCCAACCCCCTCTTTTTAAACAAAGTTTGTTATTAATAATCTAACAAGCTGGAATTCACTGTTTTCATAATGTAAAATTAAATGAATTGGGTTGACAGTGCTCCCTTTCAGAACAGGACCATATGCATTTATTTAAAGATCTCTTGAAAAATGCATGTCAGTCTTTTAAGACAAAGATTCTTGTTTTCCAAAAGCTACCGTGAAATGCCTTATTCTCAAGATCCCTTCAGAAGATGATATTGATAACTGCAGAAAGGATGTGAAGACTTATTGAGCCCAACATGCCCTTTTAACTATGAGTGTTATGACCGTTTACAGGATTCTGAGTGCTTTCTAAATGCTGGGGTTGGGGGTTAGATCATAAATGTAATGTGATATACATGTATGTAAGTATGTATGTGTGGGAGATGAAATTTTTTAACTGAGAAAAGAGGGGTGTATTTCCCCTTCCCTTTGTCTAAAAATCAAGAGTCCACTGTGGTGAAAGTGGTTTGTACTGAACTACTAACCTAAAAGTGGTCTGAACATAGGTCTCACCACCACCACCACAGTGGAAGAACGACCTCACAGCCTGTGGAGCAGCTCTACTCGGAGACACATGGCATCGCCGTGACTTGGGGTCAACCAGACAGCAATGGGTGGTTTTTTGTGTCTTTTGGGGTGGGGGTGGGGGGGGGTGTCTGAAACAATAGAGAATCAAGCTGTGCTGGGTTTACGCAAGACCACTCTCAGGAGTCATACTTATTGCTGTACTTACTAAAGCCGTTCTCGACCTGTGGGTCATGACCCCTTTGGGAGTCAAACTACCCTTTCACAGGGGTCACCCGATTCATAACAGTAGCCAAATTACAGTTATAAAGTAGCAATGAAAATAATGTTACAGTTGGGGGTTCACCACCATGTGAGGAACTGTTGAAAGGGTCACGCGGCATTCGGAAGGCTGAGAACCACTGGACCACAGGGAAAGGATACTAAGCACAAGCAGTAAAGGAAAAGGGTGTATGGGAGTGAATCCAGAGGAAACCAGTTACAAGTTCCCAGGAGTGCTCTCCTAGCGGATCACACAGAATGTACTTTATTCTTCCAGCAAAGAGTTGTGAAAACGTGTAAAATGTTTTTTACATGGAATCTCATCAGAAACTGATGGGAAGTGTCCAAAAATCCAGGATCTCAGACCTCATCCAGTGGCCAACTTTGCAAACAAATCCTGTCTAGGGATAGCTGTCTTGAGCTTGCTGCGTTAACTCCACTACACAATGCAATCTCATGTTCTTTCCTTGGAAGCTCATTGTGATAGTAGCTTTTTTTGAACAACTGCCAGGAGTTCAAAATGGAGAGAGAGAGTGTGTGTGTGTGTGTGTGTCTTCCTTTTGAAGGTGTGTTAGTCCAGGTTGACTAGAGAAACAAATTTACAGACACTCATGTATAAGAAAGAGCTTTATATACAAGAACAACTGAATATTGAGAAAACATCCCAGTCCAAATCAAGTCCAACTATTAACCCAGATGCCCGATACCAAACTATAAAGTCCTCTTCAGACTCACAAAACACATGCAATGACACTGAATGCAGGAAGATCACAGGCTAGTGGTTGGAAAGTCTTGTGGATCCAGTGGTGGTGTAAGCATGTCAACACTGGCGTGGATTTTACGTGGCTCCTCCAGCTCCAGGGCTTTAGCATAGCTCCATATGTCTTGTCAATAGGAATGTTTCACAGGGAGTGAACGAGTGTCCCGCCTCTAGTGAGCTATTAATCTTGGCTCCAAGTGAAGTAGTCAGGCTGCAACCTGGTTGACAAGCTAAACTCCACCCCTCCACGCTTAATAGTTTCAAATTGATGGCAGATTATGTAACTACCACAAGGCATAATAGCAAAGAATGTAGACTCTGGAGTTTGACTACAGAGATTGTCATTTACTAGTTAAAATTATAGGGCACTGGTACGGATAAGAGCTCGCAACACAAGGAATCCAGGACAGATAAACCCCTCAGGACTAATAATAAGAGAAGCGATATCAAGAGGATAAGGGGAAGGTGGGGAGAGAAATGGGGAACCGATCATAATGATCTACATATAACCCCTTTCAAGGAAGACAGACAACAGAAAAGTGGGTGAAGGGAGACAACGGTCGATGTAAGACATGAAAAAAAATTTTTTTGTAAATTATTAAGGGTTCACAGGAGAGAAGGGAATGAGCAGAGGATACCAAGGGCTCAAATAGAAAATGTTTTGAAAATGATGATGGCAACAAATGTAAAAATGTGCTTGACACAGTGGATGTATGTATGGATTTAATAAGAGCTGTAAGAGCCCCCCAAAAATTATTTTTTTAATTACAGGGTCACAATGAGGCGATACTAGTAAACAGTACACAAAAGAAGATGAATAGTGTCTGGTTTGTTTTTTTTAAGTGTCTTTTACACAAGCAGCCATGTAAATGAGGTGTCAGCTAAACTCACATGGAAGAAGCACTTCAGCTTGGTAATCCAAAAGTATTATAAATTATAAAATCCAACACTGGAGAAAGGAATGGTATTAGAGCTTAAATTCTAAGCACCGGTTTGCAGAAGGCTGTGGATGATAGTGAAAGTCTAAACCATTTACAGGGTCCCCATGTGGATTAAGTGTAAATTAAACCTTTGATGAATTACCTCCAACCATTGGCCAAGGATATGAATAGCCTTGCTATCAAACAAAGTGGAAAGTGGATTAATGCTGATGTAGTTAGGTTAAAATTTAACACCTTATCATTTGTTCTCCTTTTTGGTTTGTTTGTTCCTTTGTTTATAGAACATTTTATTAGGGGCTCTTACAGCTCTTTAAACAATCCATACATCAATTGTATCAAGCATATTTGTACATGTGTTACCATCATCATTTTCTAAACATTTACTTTAAATCTGCGCCCTTGATATCAATTCCTCTTTTTTCCCTTCCTTTCCCCTCTCCCACCCTCTTGAACCCTTGATAAATTATAAATTATTATTATTTTCATCTCTTACACAAACCAATGTTTCCCTTCCCCCTTGGTGTCTGTTGTTCCTCTCCTCTTCTCCACACCTTCCCCCTACGTTCCTGGTATCACTACTCCCATTTCTGTTCCTGAGGGGTTTATCTGACCTGGAGTCTGTGTGACATGAGCTCTTATCTGTACCAATGTACCTGCTCCCTTCCAGCCCTAAGTGAAAGGCAGGACTGGGGTCATGATAGTTGGGGGTGAGGAAGTGTCACAGAACTAGAGGAACATGGTGTGTTTCATTGGAGCTATACTGCACCCTGGTTGACTCATCCTTTCCTTGTGACCCTTCTGTGAGGGGATGTCCCATTGTCTACAGATGGGTTTTGGGTCTCTGCTTCAGCCCCCCCTTCGTTCTCAACAGTATATTTGTTTGTTTGCTTTGAGTCTTCTGATGCCTGCCAACTGATCCCGTCAACACTTCATAATCACACAGGCTGGGTGTGCTTCTTCCATGCAGGCTTTTTGCTCTTCTGCTAGATGACCGCTTGTTTAGCTTCAAGCCTCAGACACTATATCTTTTTTTTTTTTTTGGACACTATCTTTGATAGCCGAGCACCATCCACTTTCTTCACCACATTTTGTCTTAGAAATCTGGGAGGGTAAGCATCACAGAGTGACAGATTGTTAGAACAAAGTGTTCTTGTGTTGAAGGACTACTTGAGCAGAGGTCCAAAGTCCATCCACTACCTCAATGTATTGCCATATTAATGTATGTATTTAGGCCAATACCTCTATTTTTATGAATTAATGTATTTGCACATGTTCACACCTATGTTTATACCTCTTTGAATAGCTTTGCTGCTTAGATCTTTCCTCTGTTTCCTTTTACCTTCCTCCTGTTCCACCATCACGCTCACCTTTCTTCTGCCTCTTAGTAATTCTCTCGGCTAGATTGCTGTTGCTCCAATACCCCCCAGGATCTCTAAGTCCTCCTCATTGTTGATTTTAATTCCCTAGTTGTTTTTGTCTATGGCGTTGTTTGCTTTTTTTGGCCCATTTTAAATTTGTTCACGTTTTTATTTTATGCTTTCTGTCTACTAAGATTTTTGTTTTGTTATCATTGGTAAGTATTTTGTTTGCTTTGTAAGCATCTCTTCATAAGAAATCCAGGATCAGTCATTCTGTAGATACAGTAACGGGATTAATAGTTTGTTAAGGTTATGGCAGGGGAGGTTGGTGGAATATAGGGAGCTAATAATCAAGTACATGAATGAAAATGTTCTAAATTAGATTCTGGTGATGATTGCAGAACTTTTTAACATATTTAAATGATTGAATTCTATACGTGTCAATAAAACTTAAAAAAATTTTCGAAGGAAAGAACTTTTACAAACTTTTTTGGTTTGTGTTAATGTAGTCATTTATAGACAAAAGTCAAGAAAAACTTTACCATATACTAATGTTTGTCTCTCTCACTCCTAGAATCTTCTCTTTTCTGGATGTCGTAACCCTGTGTCGCTGTGCTCAGGTCTCCAGGGTAAGAATGGTTGCGCGCTCTAAGGGACTTGTTTTCTGATGACAAATACAGCAGCTGTTTGGTGGACTTCAGATGTCACTAATATGTTGTTATGTTTCAAGGACTATTATTTGAACCACGGTTTGGGGTTATGTACAATCTAATTAATTTCCTGTAATTCCTGACAACTTACATAATAAATACATTTCCAATGGAATATGGAAAAAATGGAAATATTTTCAGTGGAAAAATATTCAGCACGTAAATTAAAAGATGTTCTGATTGACTCTCGTACATATGACAGAGCAGTAGAAGCTATAAAGGTTCCTCCGTTTAGGAAAGCGCTGCAGTGCTGCTCAGTCAGGTGTATTTTCTTTTGGTGCCGCTCAGCGTTCTGCAGGGGAGACAGGAGAAGCCAGTGGATGGGAAATCGTTTAATTTGTGCAGACTTTTATGGGTTTCTAGCAACGGGAAGAGAAGGGTGAAATCACAGTCTAGGAAGTAGTGGATTTTTTATGTTGGGAACATTAGTATTGACTAAGGGTAGCCGTTACACAATTACTATAGCTAATTATTATTACTGTACTATAAATTGGGGGAAAAGGAAAAATGCCACCCACAAAAAGACTGTACCTATTGACAGTCTCTCTTTAGCTCAGTTAACAGAGAATGCTTGCCTTCAGCTTGGCACTGTTAGAAAGAATTATTTACAGAAGTTTCACCTAAAGCACAGATTAGACCGTGCAGCTGTGGAAAGTCTGATTAATGGTGATGATACAGTGTAAGTTTGTGGATGGTGCGGATGGTGGCACAATGCGATGTTGTTACGTGTAGAGTGAGTATATGTTTGGTTCTGTATATTTTCTCCCCTAAAAATGGTGAGAGATGATGATTTCAGCAGTAATTCCTTCTAGATGAGCTGGGCCTGGATTTGTCATTTTGAAAAGGTTTCTTTTAGGACAGAGCAGGACTGTCCTAAAAGCAGGGTTTGCAAGGCTTAAGGAGTGCTTAGAATGAGAGCGATTACCAAGCTAACTCTTGCTTCTTTCTTATTATATCTGCTTCTTCAATATTTTGCCTAGTGTGGGGGGTGTTTTCCCCTTAAGACATAATACGAAACTATTTTAAGTATCCTCTGGCTTTAAGCACCTCAAATGAGATTTGGATGAGCTGAAGCCGTACAAAATCTGCGTATCAGCTATTTTGGAAATAACCAGTATTTCTTAGTGATTTTTTAAATTTTTATTTCTGTCTTTAGTACTCATGTGATCTCTCTGGACATAAGTATTATATTGCTCTTACAAATGAATGAGTTTTTCTCATTTTCTCCACATGTAGTTTTATGAAGCAAAATATATCTAAATCTGTCTGGCTGCAGTCTCGCCCAGAAACCTGCAAGTTTCTCTTCCCACTTAGTATGTGTTAGCTTAAAAGATGGAAGGCACGATGCCAATATTTACTACATCTGCACAGTTGGTACATTAGTAGTTATCCTGTTATCCCTGTGTCTAAAGTACTTATTTACTTAGGTCAAAAGCAGGTTCTAGAGGGAAACCTGTCATTCCTAATTTTAGTCTGAGTACTGTATGTTTATTTCTTGCTAGAGAAAGTAATATAAAGAAAGTTCAAATAACATACCAAATTAGAAGTTTACTTGCTCTAAAAGCTCTTAGACATATGGTCTTTAAAATTTTTTATCTGTTGCCTTCCATGACAAACCATTGAGAAACTAATAATAGAGCCACCAGTAGAAAAGTAGCATTGCATTGCTAACAAGACCTCAGACATTTCTAGAATGATAGATACTTGCTTACCCTCATGATGCTGATGTAATTTTCTTGGATATATGAATAATTATCCTGGTGCTTATATATAACCAGAGCCTCTTTTTCAGAGTTTCTGAGGAATTCCTTTAAGTATATCCAATAATGAATCCATGTTTTGTTATTTTTAAGTAAGAGATATACTCTAATGGATAGCAATATGCAGAAATTTTTTACATTTCACATTTTGTTGGTAAACTCTTAAAAGACTTGCTGATTAAAGTACCGAATGATTCACAATAAGTTAGCTCATATTGAAGTTACTTATAACCTAATTCCATAAATTGGAAAACTTTTTACCTCTTTATACCTTGTTGAAGTTAAAAGTATTGTCATTGCTTTAAAATTATTGCTGAATAAAATTAGATGGAATGGCGATCCATTGAAAACCATACTTGAGTGAGCAGATTGAGAAGGATACGCATTAAGATTCTGTGTCATATGTGCAGAAAGATGATGGTCTCTTTTTTAGTTGCAAATTAGTTTGTCACAGTGTCAATTCTGAATGAGTGTTGCTATGGATAACAAATATATATTGAACACCGGAGCCCTGATGGTGTAAAGAGTTATACTTTGGCTGCAAGGTCAGCAGTTCAAACCCATAGTCGCACCAGGAGACTGCCAGGGAAATCCCAAGGAGTAGTTCTACTCTGTTCTGTAAGTTCAGCATGAATTGAAATGGTTTGAAAGCATTGAGTTTTTGTTTGTTTGTTATTTAGAATACTGTCCCTACTATTAGTGAATCTTCATCTTGTTTCTATTATAAGGATAGAGCAAGAGACTTATTTTTTGTCAGCTGAACTTCTGTCCTTTGGGATCGAAACTAGAAATCTTCCAGACGGAATGCAGTCTGTGGCTATGGTGCTTACCACAACCCTGCCTTTTTCCAACTCCCCATTCTCCTTAGCTGTCAGTTTTTGCACATGTTCATTGATAAAATAATCCAATCAGAAAATAAAGCGTGTGGATCTACTGGGGGGGTGTAATAGTGGGATTTAGAAATTTATTAATTGGTGGTTGTTCAGATGAATTATGGGTTCATATATTTATGGTTTCCCCCCTTCATTTCCACTCTTGCTTATTCTATCCCTTTTTCTTCAAAACAGGCCTGGAATGTTCTGGCTCTCGACGGCAGTAACTGGCAACGAATTGACCTGTTTGATTTCCAGAGGGATATTGAGGTATGATTAATTATGTTTTGTGTGGCCCCGTTTCTCTTGTTCGAGTGTAATTATAACATGGAACTGATGAACCTCAGCCATATAAATCATCTCCTTTTCCCTGGAGAGAGAAACTATTAATTTCAGTGCATTTGAACTTCACAGGAGCTTTTGAAGTTCCCAGTCATGTTCCGTTTTTGAGAATGAGTATTATTTCACAAAAATATGAATAAAAGTTTGCGTGTTCGTTTTCTTCCTGCAGTAGAAATAGGAACCCGTGTTCATTTAATGATGTTATTTTTGTTTGTTGAAGAGCAAGTCAAGTTACAGCTTGTTGCGGGTAGTTTTTGCACACACTCTTGAGATGAGAGCCCTTTGCTTCTAAGGAGGCTACAGACAGTTTTTATGGGAATGGTGGAAGGGGGCAAAGTCTTTTATTGAATTGTTTTCCTCTCCCACATCTCCTATATTTTATCTGTTTACTACCTCTAAAACAAACGTAATAGGTTTTAGAGTAAAAGAATGCATACATCAATTTAATCAAGCACATTTGTACATATGTTGCCATCATTTTCAAATCACTTTCTTTTTTCCCCCCTCCCTCATGAACCCTTGATAAATCATAAGTTATTTTAATTTTCTTATCTTACACCATCTACTGTCTCCCTTTAACCACTACAGTCTTGCCAGATTTATAAGGTATAACTGGGGTCATGATGGTGGGGGGTGAGGAAGCATTAACGAACTAGAGGAATGTTGTGTGTTTTGTTGGGTGCTATATGCACCATTTCAACAAACTTTTATCAAACCCAAACCCATGTTATATGCAGAGTATTACAATAAATACTTGGGAGGGGATACAAAAATAATATAGTTATTATTTTTCAGGAGCAATGGTTTAACCCTGAGTTCATTATACATATGTATAGTAGCATAGTAATACAAGGGCTCCATTTCCACAACCATATGTCATTTAACAAATATAAGAAAATACACAGCTTAGGCAGGTTTTAAGTAGATGCATTAATCAAGAGAGCATTTAACAATAAGCAAGTTGAAATTCTGATTCACTTAGGTCTTTAAAGCTGAGCAGAAATTTATTCTTTGTTTATAAATTATTAGACATTACACATGTTCTTTGAAACACAGTGAGATAGCTTAGCTTTCTGCTACCTTTTTCTGTAGGGCCGAGTAGTGGAAAATATCTCAAAAAGATGTGGGGGCTTCTTGCGGAAGTTGAGTCTCCGTGGGTGTCTTGGAGTTGGAGACAGCGCATTAAGGTAAGGCTGTAGCTTTTGATTCACTACTCTAGATTGAACCATCTCACCTGGAAAACGCTAAAATAATTTAAAATTTCTAACCTAGAATGTAAACACATTGTTTATAACACAAAGATATATAATAATAGGAGATAATGGCTTGAGGAGTAAAACAAAAACAAGTATTCTTCCCGAAAAGCCACATTCCCCATCATAACTGATTCTTTCTGAGATTTTCAGTAAGTTATTATTGTTATTGCTTAAACATTTGATTACTCAAAGGTATATTATTTATACATGGTTGAGGTAAGCATTTAGGGCTCCCACCTAATTTACAATAAGAATTATTATAAGATAAAATAAATTGGAGCTGATTGTTCATAATTGTGATTATTCATAGTTGTGAATCGATTCAGTGCCAACCAACAATATTGTCAATAATAAAATCTTTTATTTGTTATGTTTTATACTTGGAATGGTGCCCATTTCAATTGAGAGCTTTTACTTTGTTTATTTTCCTATAAAGGACTTTTGCACAAAACTGTAGGAATATTGAAGTACTGAATCTAAATGGGTGTACAAAGACCACAGATGCGTAAGTATTCTATGTTTTGTAAGGGTAAGTCATAAACCTTGGGTTTGACATACACGAGCTATAATGTAGATTACTAAAGATGTTTGGCAATTTTTATCTTGGTTTTACACAGAAAAGTTATTTTTAAAGAAAAATAGAACATTAAAGTAAAAATGGAATTGAAAGATACTGGAAATTCTCCATGAAATTTTTTGAGGCCACCTTGTATATACAGTAGAACCAAAACTAACTGCCATAGAGCCACTTCTGACTTTTTCAGTAAGGAAAGTAAAAGTATAGATTACTGAAGGTTAAGGTAGCTATACATCAAAAGCTACGGGAAACCCTTCTCTCAAATCCTAGCTATAGGACTAAACAGCATATGATAAAATCTATATTCGTAATATTTATTAAGTGACTCTTTAAATGTATTGTTACTTAATATCACAGATTTAGTAGATATAATAGGTACACATTATAAATCTTCAGCCTACAGAGATAAAGGTTGGTAATAATATGCATGAAATAAAATTTGTATATAATGTAGAGAAATTGCTGCCCATTGTGAGATGAAGTGAATTTCTTATAGAACTATGTTTGCATTATGTTTGCATAGGGAGGAGTTAGTTTATCCACAAAATCTTAGGAAGTGGGAGGGGGGGAGGAGGGGGAAAAATGAGGAGCTGATGCCAGGAGCTTAAGTGGAGAACACATATTATGAGAATGATGAGAGCAGTGAATGTACAAATATGCTTTACACAATTGATGTATGTATGGATTGTGATGAGTTGTACGAGCCCTCAATAAAATGATTTTAAAAAAACAAAACAAACTAGAAATAAACTAAATTCAAAGTAGGAGCAAAGAAGGAAATGAAGAAAATAGCCGAAATCAATTAAATAGGAAATAGACAAATATTCAAAATTGTTTAAGCCAAAAGTTGGTTGTTCTAAAATAAAATCTATCAGCTGGACCAGTCTGCTCCTCATTGCTGTGGAATTGGTTCCGTCTCATAGCAACCATATAGAAGCAGAAGGAAACGCCGCCGGGTGCCGTGTCCTTCTCGTAGCTATTAGGGTTGAGCCCATTGCCGGATACACCGTGTCAATCATTTTAGTCCAGGGCCTCTTTCTTGCTGCCCCTCTACTTTACAAAACTAAATTTCATAGCCGCACAGTGCTCTCTGAAATCAGCCATCACAAAAAACAGGGTTCCAGCAAGACTGCTTTTATGAAAATATTTCCTGTGACCAGAGTGAACTTCACAGTCAACGCAGACCGAGTTGCTCCATGCTCGCCTAGTGGGGAGATGCATACTGTGAAAGCTCCGTGCCACCCAGTGCCATTCCTGTTATTTTGAGGGTACCCACATGGGTAGTGTCTACTTCTTCATGGCTATCTTTCCAAACCCGAGTGGAAACACTACCTTTTCTTTTTGTTTGAAACACTTGTGTGTCACAAAAGCATGCAAGTCTGGTTCCGTTTTCCTTTCCTCCGTTACTGCAGCCACTTAGCCCGGTGTGCAGAGCTGCTGGTTCAGGCTGTGCCCCTTTTTCTCATTTAAAAATTTTAACTTTGTTTTTGTTGTTTTTATTTATATTTTTTTATTTTCCCCTCTTGTTTGTAGGCTGTCATACTTACAAAGAAAAACATTCTATGTAGTTGGACAGCCCATCTCATCAAATCCGTAAAATACCCCAGTAAACACCACCATATGTAGTTCTTTTTTGCTTTTTTCTTTTCTCGCCTTCCATCATTTCCTGTCTGTCTGCTTTCCCTCTTCCCCCTTCTCTCATTGTGGTCTTTTAAATTCTTATCCTTTGTTGTAAAGCCTGTTTTTTTCTTTTCCTTTATAATAATGGCTCTTCTGAATGGGAAAGTTCCAAGATTTGTAGCTGCTTTTATTTGGGGCTTGGAAATTTTATAACTCTAACACATAGAAACATGTTTCATGAAAATGGTATGTGCCCAAAACAAAAATATATCAATGTGAATGAGGGGGGCGGGGGAGGAGTGCAGAGTGGAGACCCAAAGCCCGTCTGTAGACAATTGGACATCCCCTTACAGAAGAGTCACAAGGAAGAGACGAGCCAGTCAGGGTGCAGTATAGCACCAATGAAACATAGAACTTTCCTCCAGTTCTTTAATGCTTCCTCCCCCTCACTATCATGACCCCAATTCTACCTTAAAAATCTGGCTAGATCAGAGCATGTACACTGGTACAGATAAGAGCTGGAAACAGGGAACCCAGGACAGATAAACCCCTCAGGACCAATAATGAGAGTAATGATACCAGGAAAGTAAGGTGAAGGTGGGGGGAGAAGGGGAAAACCGATCACAATAGTCTACATAAAATCCCCTCCCTGGAGGTCGAACAACAGAAAAGTGGGTGACATCAGTCAATGTAAGACATGAAAAAATAATACTAATTTATAAATTATCAAGGGTTCATGAGGAAGGAGGGGGAAAGAGGGAGGGAAATGAGCTAATAAAGGGCTCAAGTAGAAAGAAAATGTTGATGGCACATATATACAAAAACGCTTGACACAATGGGTGGATGTGTGGATTGTGATAAGAGCTGTACGAGCCCCCAATAAAATGATTTTCTTAAAAAGAAGGTGGTATGTGATATACTAAGAATGTGTTTTGATTTTATTTTTTATTTTCTCTTTTTCAGTACATGTACTAGCCTTAGCAAGTTCTGTTCCAAACTCAGACACCTTGACTTGGCTTCCTGTACATCAATAACAAACATGTCTCTAAAAGCTCTGAGGTAACTTTCTTATAAGCATGTTCAGTACTCAGAAAGAAATACATTTTTAAAAAGCATTGCAATTAAAGGCATTTATATTGTGAATATGCACTGTAGTTCAGAATGGATCCTGTGTCTTAACTGCTTACTCAAATTAAGGGACACGTCTATGTGAAATTTGACTAAGCTTTCTGAAAAGAACAGAGTTTGACATGAATAATTGGGCTTCTCTGATAGCCTACTTTTTTTTTTAAAAAAGGCGTGGTTAAACAATTCAGGAGTCAGATTTTTAACCAGATGCCTTGAGTATATTTGTGAGCTTTACCTTATCTCTTATAGTTACTATTGGAATTAAACAAGATAATACTAGACTAGATCATATGAAGTTGCCAATATTTGACAATTTTTTGTTTTTTAATAAAATGGCAGCTTCGTGGGGTACCTGGCACATAGTAACCATTCAGTAAATGTAATTTTGATGTTTAAATGTATTTTATTATATTAAAGAAATTTTCTTTTATTTTCTTGAAAATGTATTTTAAAGTAAGGGTAAAATTCCCTTTGGAACCTTATCTTTTAATCATCCTTTTATAAATGATTGTCGTCTCTTTATAAGAATAAGTGTAATATGGGTTAAGTAGTACAGAGCGCATATGTAGAAACACTTTACTTAGTTATAAAATAGTTTTACATATGGTCTCATTTGGTGCAACCTTATGCAGTAGTTAGGACAGCTGTTTCGCAGGATTAAAAGTCTGGATTGAGCTTTCAAGTGCTGATTACTGTTATAGAACCATGGTCTTTAACAAAATAAATAGGCTTTTGTCCTTCAGGTACTGAGAGTCTAGACGGGTCATCATATACAATGTGTGGTAATAGAAGTCAGTAGATTGATTTGGGGAAATGATCGAAAGTTTGTGCAAAGAAAATGTACCTTAGCTAATCTTGGACTAAAGTGGTTTCTGGAAGTGACCAGAGGTCACTTGAAGCTAGATCTCCTGACTTTGTGCTCTGAACATGTCCTGCAAGCAGGAATACTTCAGCAACATTTTCCAATGAATGTCATTGAAAGTTTGCTTGAATTCTGTTTCAAGTGTGAAACTGAACTTAGAGCAAGGGGTCAAAGGTACAGGTAATGTACTAAATACTCTGAGTTTAAATAAGTCATATAATTTTTCCTTCATCTAGAGACCATTGAGATAGTATGATTCGTGCAAAAAGAATTTTAAAATATTTTTAGCGTTATGTAAAATTCTAAAATATCTGGGGACAGGGGGAAGAAGCCACTGCTTTGTGCTCCAGTCTGCAAACTGGATTGGAGACTAGTGATAACCCGTTCTGTGAGCACCACAAATGTGAACTGGATTTCCTTTACTGCGGGTTCCTTATATTCTAAATGTGAGGTAAATGTGGGTGCTCTTGTGAAGAAAATGGGCCCGTATGCATTCTCTGACTAAATAGCTTATACAACTCCAGTGCCTTTGGAACTGGATTTAGTCACATTTATCTTATTTTGTTTTATTCTAAGTGAGGGATGTCCACTGTTGGAGCAACTGAATATTTCCTGGTGTGACCAAGTAACCAAGGATGGCATCCAAGCACTAGTGAGAGGCTGTGGGGGTCTCAAGGCCTTGTTCTTAAAAGGCTGCACACAGGTAATGCTCCATGTAGTGCTGTGAAAGTTGGAAGGGCCGTGAGCTTAGGGTAAGAGGCCTCAGGCTGTCGACTTGAAGGAACTGTTTCTGGTTTTTGTTGGCCAAAGACATGTTGTTTTCCTATGAATAAGATAATATTAAAAAGATTAACATTTGATCCAAGATACACATCTTCTTCCGAAATTGATTTTGGGGTAAAATGAGGTGAGGTGGTGAATATCACACTGAGCATATGCCATAAGCAAGAAGGGCTTCTTGTAGCTTAATCTGCACTGAAAAAAATGTACAGTGACTGCCTGAGACTTCCAACTGTAGGCAAGGGGAAGCAGTCTTGGCAATTTCCGCTGGTTGTTTAGCCATCAGTTTTTCTTACATGTGCCAAATACACAGCTACCTACATTTTATAGTGTCGATGCTTTTTTCTCTGCCAGTCATATTACAAATCCAACATATTTTACTTAAAGTGTTACTGTCTTTGTATTTTATAGTGAATATGACACATGGGGTAAGGTAACATGAAAGGAATTTATCAAGACTGGAGTTAGTAGTAATTGACAATGTAGGACTAAGTTTTTTTTATTATTTTACCAATATTGTTAAAATCATGCCTGGAATTTTAAAAATGCCCTAATTCTTTTGCCATGTTAGGAGAAGGACTGCTGTTTGAAGCAGAGCTTTGGGATTCTTACAGCCTTAAGACAACAGCTTGAGCTTCTGGTTATTTATGGAAACCTAGAAAATATTGATTGGAATACATCATTATAATCAATTACTTACCATCTGTTCTCAGCAATGTAAGGATGGCACTGATCTTCCTGCACCAGATAAACATTGGATTCCTTTCTCAGCTTCTGCTCTCTAAATGTAATGTTTTAAAGAATTTATGGGACATGTCAAAATGTGAGAAAGGTTTTTAAAAATGAAAATTATCATACCTTTATAATTCACCAGTAAAATGCGGTGGGGCATATTTAATTGAACATAAACAACTACCATGGACAGTTTAACAGAAATTTCAAAGTGCAGCTCAAAAAGACAAAGACTTAGATGAAATGTGAAAACAACTGGAAAGCAAAAGTTAAAAACACGTTTGACATTTCTTGTGCTGAATGAACTGAAAAGAATTAAGCTTCTGATGGAGCCC